TTTTTGTACATTCACAAGGTATTTTTTATTTTTTATGGTATTTTAAAGAAATTGTGTCATGATTTTATGATTTCATAATGTCTGCCTTCAAGTTGATTTTGAAATGTGGAAAGCTTATACATATTTATAAAATTCTTTGGTAGCATCCAAAAGCTGAATTTGAGAATTGAAAATGACTTTTATTTTCAAAAGATGAGCATTTTCCGCGACACGCATGAGTGTCGCTATAGTCAAAACCACGGCCTTCAACATAGTCGTGAGAAAATCCCCGACTTCGGGGTTTTCTGTCACTAAATCAACTCGAGCTCCCTACACAAGGACTTGTCTCATTGGGAGGATGTATACAAGGAGAACGAATGAATGAACATTTTAGGCCTCCTGGAGCTCTCTACACAAGGACTTGTCTCATTGGGCACAACTATACATTGAAATTGAATCTGTCGGAGTGTATTACATGATTGCAAATATCTCATAATTAATTATCTTAGTATGATTGCTCGAATATTTAAGAATATCTTAATTAGGCTTGATTTGTGGTTATATATCTGTAGAGTTATGACAGATTTCCTTGATTATTAACATAGGAGTGAGTGTATAAACCCTCCTTGTATCCATACATTCCAACAACAAATCTTGGAAATAGGTTCTCTTCCATTTTCTCATAGAATTACTGGTGTAATATTGTTTGCGCATTGCATAATTAATTCCCAAATCTAATTGAATTTAAAATATTGCAGAAATAACAACATATAACATTTAATGATAAAATCAAAGGGTGAAGTTAATCAAAAGTTGGATCAATGGCTAATAATCATTTTAGGATTATGATGGTACCGACATATATATCACACTACTTTATTTATTTGCCCGTGCATGGCATGGAAATCAAGGAGAATGTTTCCATTTGATAATATATTATGAGAAAATGAGTTTTTTTTTTTTTCTCCTACCGTTGATAGTATTCAGGATATATAAGCTCTATTTTTATTCTCATATATCCAGAAATGTTCCACTTCGATCCCAATAAAGTTTAGCTACTACCCATGATGCTAACTCTAATGATAGTTGTAATTTCTGAATTTTGTTTTTGAAGATTTTTTCAAAGAATAATACAAATTAGATTTGAGGCTATACATAATAATTTAAGTTATTGAGTTGAGATAATTTTTTAATATAATATTAGAACCTTAATAATTAAGCTGTCATAGGTTCTAATCTCACTATTTTTATTTATTTGATAAAAATTAAATATAAGATAATACAAATATGTGTAAATTTCAAACCTAAAAAACTTTTTACTTGAGAGGCTGTGTTAGAAAATAATATAAATCATATCATGGAACTTCACCTAACAGTTTAAGTTATTAGGTTGAAATGGTTATTTGACAAATTTATATTTTTTTTTATTTTTCTTTTTCAGTTTTTTTCAATAAAGAATTGAAAAACACATTTATTTCTTGAAAACAAAAATAAATTTTCTTTTTACATTAAAAAATTACAAGTATATCTGTTTTTATAAAAATCATACCATAATTTATAATAATCAACACAAATAATATAATTGTAGATTATTGATTTTATTTTATTCAAATTCAAAAGGTATCATCATGAAAAATTTATGTTCTTAACTAAAAATATATATTAGATTTATAATAAAAACTATAAAGAACCTCTAAAATATGTTTTTCAAGCTCCATACAAATTTGAAAAGCGAAAAAACTATTTTTTTTCTAGTATTTTAAATGGAGAAGCATTGCATTTGAACAGAAAGTTCTTGTTTTTTTCCCTAACTCGGTTTTTCCAGATAATTAAAGTATTACTCTGTAATATCTAAACAGTTTCTTTAACTTTTCACCAAGTCTTGTTAACAATGATGGTATATTTCTGATCATTAATAGACTAAACATTTGAAAATTGAAAGTGGATACATTCTGTGCATAGCACCCACCCTCGGGGTGGAATGTATTTTGTGTTCAAAACACTACCGATTGGGTTGAACACTTGAGACGATGGGGCTTCTTGAAACTTCTCTGATTAAAAAAAATTACTAATAGATGGAAATCATAACACATTAATTATACAATTAAAGAACAATAAAAGGTATAGACTCAGTGTAATTGAAATAGTAAAATGATAATTTTTTTTTTCTTTTTTAAACATTACACTAATAGACTTGGAAGTGAGGGTATAATAGTCTTTTTGTTTTTATTTTCATAGAAAATTTACTATTATGCCCTTGGAGGATTTTTTTCCTCAATTGGATAGTTTTATTATGATTTTTATTATTATTATCTTAATTGAATAATTTTTTTAATTACATCCCTTAATATTTCAGTTCATTTGATTTTATGTTAGATTTAATCTTTATTTTCTTAATTGCCATTTGTTTTATTTTTAATCTTGTTTTTATTAGAATTTTTTTTTATTTCATCCCTTATAATTTAATCAATTGAGTTCGTTAACTTTTTAAATCAAAAAAATTAGACCGAGTTGTCTTAGATTTTCTTATAAGTACTTTTTTATAGTTAATTTTTGCTAATATTATCCTTTTATATGATTATCATGATTTTATATATTAGACCATAAATTTTATATATTAACCTAACTTTTCCCAAATCAACATTATTTTATAAATTTATATATTGTTGTTATTACCCTGCTTTTTATCATATTATCAATTTTTTCTAACTTATTTGAAAACACAATCATGCCCTAAACATTTTTTTTTGGGCTGAGAAAAGTGAAAAACTTTGGCACGGCCTGCGGTGTACACCGCATGGACCACTAATGTGTTAGCGAGTGTGTTTTTCTTAGAGTAAAACCAACATGAGTTTTGTTCCACGGTCATGGCATTTGCTACTCTTAGGTATATATACATTTCATATATACCTTTACTATGACTATCAAGTTTTCTTGCTTGGCCTCTTTGTTCTACAAGGGAGAGGTGATAAGAACAAACACACATCTTGTTCTTTAAATACGATAGCATCTGATCAGCAGTGATAGAAGTGAAGTTTCTTCCAGTGTAAATACCAAATATTGTAGGAGGCTGACAGGCACACTAAACTAATATTGGCACATAAGCAAAGTTAAGGCACTTGGTAGAACGTGATCCAGAATCGAATTCTCAACGCATGATTTTATTTTTAAAAAAAAAGAGGTTAGAATCTAGCTGTGGTACTTGTTCAGTTGTTCTCATCCAAAACGAAAGAAAAGAGTAAAAAGGTGGCCAAAAAAGAAAGAAAGATTCTGATATTTTCAAGAAATCTAGATAATATAACATCCAAAAAGAGAATACAAGAAAAATTGAGTAATGAGAGGGGGAAAACCAGAATTAATACAGTTCCAATGAGATTTGCAACCAGCAAATTAAATCACTAACCATCTAGCTACTAGATCCAACCAGATCCAAACCAAATTGAAGCAACTGCCAAAACCAAAGCCCTCAAGCCCACCAACCCCTTATGGAAAACCAATGGAGCTGCAGAATCTGAGGATTTCACGTTAGCAGCCATGGTAGCAGGAGTTGGTGGTGGCGGCAAAGGGTGAACAAGAACAGTAACCTTCATGCCATTGAAACACTGCCCATTCCCACCAATGAAGTAGTATCTCTTGGCCTTGTTAAGAGGTATGAAATCTTTGCCACTAGTCCAGTTGCCTACTGCTCCTTCTGTTGTACAGTTGTCATAACCAGTCTGGTTCACTTCAAAGACATTGTACTGTGTCTTTTGGTACCTAAAAGCTACATTAACAAAGCGAAAGCAAACACTTCAATTGTAAATGGGAACTGGGTTTTGATCTTCTGGCTAAACTTAAACTGATGTTTATAAACAGACTTGATGTATAGATAGAGCTAATTAAGGAAAGCGGGGAGGCTTACAGATAAGGTCACCAACATAGAAGGTGTGGTTGTTCGCCCAGTGGGTATAGTTGATTCCAGGGTTCCAGCCTTTATTAGCACCAACAATGTGGTCGGTGGCGGTGGTAGCAATGGCGGAGAAGAGGATGAAGAAGCAAAAGAAGATGAGCCGAGCCGAGCTGGACACCATTTCACAGTGACTTGTTTGGTTCGAGGCTACTTTCTTTTCTTGGACAATAAAGAGTTAGTGAGGATGACAAAGAGCACCTTTTTTACTACACTTGACTAGGGCAATCCTCTTTTATAAGATCCAAGAAAAAATTTGAAAGTTATTCAGGCATGCATCACATTACCGTTTGCATTATCACAGTCAATGATTATGCTGCCATGCCTATACTTTTCTTGTTTTCTTATATGAAATAAGTTTTTTTTTTTTCAATAATTGGATTACAGAACAACAACAATCTCTTGGAAAATTTAATTTAGTGTATAGTTTATAATTAATTTAATAATAAATAAAGTCATTTGAAACAAGTTATCATTGCATTAAAATTGATGCTGCACTTGATTTTTAAAAAGAAACCACAATTGCTTTCGTAGGCGTGCCTCTAGTTTTCTAGTTACATGGTCCAGTGTCTTCAGCTCAAGACAAAATGTCCATGTCCAACGGACAAGTACATTAAAAACAAAAATGGGTAGGCAGCCGTTGGCGACTATATTTGAAATTGCGAATGCATGGTAGTTATAGTCTAGGGTTTCATCTGGTTGAAGATTCTAGTCAAGAAACTATTTTGGAAAAAACAATTTGAAGTTGACCTGATCATGTCAATCAAGTCAGTGGATTTTATCCTGGTAAAATTAAGTGTAATCAGATCAATTTCTAAACATGTTCAAAATAAAATCTGACCTGAGCTAGGTTATAAATCAGCAGATTATTGAGTCGACCTCAAGCCAGGTTTTCAGTAGATTATTGAGTCGACCTCAAGCCAGGTTTTATAACCATGGACTGCATGAAGCTTTCTTTTTCCCTCCTTCCTTAGGTATGGTTAAGTTCATTGGAACGGTCCCAGTGGATCTGTCTGTCTGCAAGTGAATCTTGGAAGGGGAAAAGTAGATGAGAGTTTCAAGACAAGCTAAAAGCTAGAGAAGAAACATTCCTCCTCAGCAATCGGTTTTATATGTTTACAAGCACCATAGACACGGTTTAGGATGTCATCACATCTCTAATGCTCCTCACAATGACAAGAGGAGGTACTTAATACATAAACTTTGATTGCCCGGAAAACGTTTATGAGCATGTCCGGAACCTGATTGACTCTACCTGTTCTATCAGCTAATAAAGACGGAGACACGCTAGCCACATTGCCGTGGACCACAAACACGATATTTAAAGGCAACAAAGGAAAAATATAATACATATTGTCTCGGTATTATTCTCAAGAAATGCTGGCTAGATTACCTTTCACGTAAGAGAAGGTGCTTGAGATTTTTCTCCTCCATGGATTGAAACCAGTCATGCAGAGATGCCCCCTCCTACTTGAGAATTTGGGCCTCCTCAAAGCTACCTTTCACTTAAGTCATGATAAGGATGAATTAAAGGGAGGGGAGTAACTATAGACAATCAGTTTGGGAAAACAGAATTTTTAACTGTTGTTAGTAAACAGAGCACAAGTATTATTACTATTCGTCATTGCATCAAGCCTAATCCAAGGTTTTTCCACATCATAAATTTCCCAAAAAATTTGCAGGTCATTCCCAGATGGTTGAAATTTCAGCATGTGCAGTTAAATATGATCAACTAAGAGCAGCAATATTTCAATTCAAAAGGTTAAGGAACTATCAAGCATACTAACCCCGATATTTTTACAAAGAATCACAAATTCAACTGACGAAACATATCACATATTCAACTGAAGACATATAAAGAAAGAAATATAGATTGCATCAAAGTAATTAAAGCTTACAACCTCAGAAGTTTTGTAACCAATGCATTTGTCAAAAACAAATTCACCATGAAGAAAAATCTCCCTCCGTCCCTATTTGCTGAAATCCTCAAGGATCTATAATTAAACAAATAGTGAATTCAAATTCTTTCTCCTCCACCTACCCTCATAAGGAAAAAATTTATCATCAGTTGTACCCACTCGATTCCAATCACATTCAGCAAGACAGCACTTTTATCTCCAATTTGTAAATGCTTTTCCTACATTTATTAGATAACTGGAACATGTGGGGATTAATCCGAGCCTCATCAAACATTTGTTAAGGCTTTTTCTATGCAATCTGAGATATATGCATTACAAAGAAGCAAGAGAACTCTCCCATGATGTAGACACTACCCAAATTAGATCCACATCGAAAAGTTATCAAAGAAATCTATATGAATTATCAAGAACGACATCACAAGCCAGAATGGGTACTTGGCAACATTGATAAGCGCCTAGCCAGGTGCATATTAGAAGGCAACAATACCTAGGACCAGGCAGTAAAGCAATGAAATTGGGAACAGTTATTTTTACAATTAATTTTTAAAGAAAAAATACCACAAGCATATTCAAAGAGAAATGCCAACATTTTCTAACTATAAAAATTTGCAACAATCGCAGTTACACCAACTACTACAGTACCTTAGAACAGGCCTATTCACCTATAGGTCCACATGTGAATAGGTTGAAAATTGGCCAATGCATACTGCAAGGTTCTCTGAAATAAAAACTCTTGCAATAAAATGAGAGATTGATATCTGGTGAAAAGAATTTTTCTCAGCTATGTTCTCTGAGATCAATATCCCAGTATTTTTCTATGCAAATTGTTCAACTGGTGTCTTCTTCTTCTTCTTCTTCTTCTTCATCTTCATTAGTGTTGATGACTTTTCGGTCCAACCATACTGCCTTTCTTGTGACTCACATGTTGATTTCTCTTAAATTTCCCTCCCAGCTTTTTTCTCTTGTCATTCTTGTCTTGAACTGGCACTTTCAACATTTTCTGAATCTTTGGATCATCTGAATATCCATTTGACCTCATCTCAGCATAGTATTCTCGAGCCTTGGTTAATAAACCACACCTTGCTAGTCCTTCCACTACTACTGTATAATGTGTCAAATTGGAAGCCACTTCATACTGCTTCATTTCCACCCATATCTTCAATGCATTCTCAGGTTGCTCTAGTTTGAAGAACTTTGCCAGAAGTAAGAGAAAGGTGTCTTCAGTAGGACCTAAACCAGCTATCTTCATTCGATCAAGGACTTCAAAAGTTTCTTCGAAAACAATACCCTCAAGAAATGCATGGTAGGTTTCTATTGTTGGGCTGACATTCTCCTCTATCATGGCAGCCATTAAACTTCTAGCATCCTCTAGCTTTTTTGCCTCACACAAAGGACGAATCATCGAATTGTAAGTAGCAGAATCTGGCTGCAACCCTGTTTCTTTCATTTTGTCTAGAATTTTGAGAGCCTCCTTAAAGCAATTCTCACGAGTTAATATGTAAACCAGAGAATTATAAACCTCAATGCCTGGAACCCAACCTCTTTTTTTCATTCCATCATAAAGTCTCAGTGAGTCAAAAAGATTCCCAACTTTTGAAAAGCAAGAAATCATGTGTGTATAAGAAGTTGCATCAGGGTCAATACAATATTTTGACATTTCCCTCCAAATTCGCTTTGCTTCAAATACATCAACACATATATTACACCATCCATTGAGAATAATGTTAAATCCCTCGACCTCCAATGGGAAGAATTTCTTGTTAACAAGCATAAACTCTTCGGCCTCTTCAATGTTTCCATTTTTACAAAGAACATTCAATAGGAAGAAAAATGCTTCTTCATCAGGGGTCATTCTAAACTTATCCATAATGCGAAATGCATAAATAGCTTTGCCAGGAAAATTTGCAGCTGCGTATCTAGGAAACACCAGAGTTAAAAACAACATAAAACTAAACAAAAAAATGGAAATCAAGAATTCTCTTTACGAAATAACTAAAAAGACACCACATGAAAATTAAGTGAATCGTCAATTCTTTAAAACTTGTACATGTTTAACATGATTCTCTTTATAGTTTCCATGAGATAAACTCGAAAATCAAAGGACTTTAACCAAAATTATATTTCCATACCAGCTAATATGCAAATTCCATTGAAACTGAAACGAGATCAAACTTCAAAGAACCAAACTTGAAGAACACAATCTCACCTATCAATCATAATAAGCATAGCTTTTCTAGTACTCATCAAGGACCTGTGCAAATCTCTAATCAAAATCCAAGCAGTATTGAACTTCCTATGATTACCCAAAACCCACACCATCAATTCACAAGCTTTCTCATCAACACAGCCCCATTTATCTCCCCATTTAAAGGCCAGAAAAGCAAGTCTCCACTCTTCTCTTAGTTCCCATATCACTGAATACACTAGATTCTGATTTGCTCTAATGCCTGACTCATACAGAGAAGCCATAGCCTCTGCTTCAGAGGGAAAATGGGCAGCCATTTTGAGTGATTGGAGAAGGACCATTTGAAGAGGTTCATGGGTTTGGATTCCTTGTTGAATGGGCTCAAAAGAGACGTTGAGATATTGAGTGGAGAAGGATTGGGAAGTGGAGAAATGGTGAGGGGATCGTGTGGGAACTGACAGTGTTCGATGAAATTCCGCAGAGAAAAAGATAGGATAATTGGAGTTATTCAAGGGAGAGGGAGGGTGAGGGTAGGTGATGGAATAGAGAAGTGGGAAAAGGAGTCGGGAATGGGATATCTGTAGTCTTCTTGCAATTGTTAGGAGTGACATGAGTTGAGCTCCGGGGAAATGGGAATGGAGACTTAGGAGTGGAAATTTGAAACAATTTGCCTTATATAGCCTGTACAAAGGACAACAGGACCAAAGAGTAACATGGCAGCGACAGCTACCTAGAAGCACCGAGCGCTTTAGATTGGGACAATGGTTGTAATTTAAAATATATTTTTTATTTAAAAATATATTAAAATAACAATTTTTATTTTTTAAAAAATTATTTTTTATATCAATACATTAAAATAATTTAAAAATATATAAAATAATAATAATTTTAAACAAAAATAATTTAAAATTTAAAAAAATAATAATTTATATCACATTTCCAAACATAACCTAAATCAACTTAAAATTAATTTAGATTAACTCAGTTAAGCCGGCAAGATAATCTTCAATCTAATTGTAATAATAATAATAACAATGCTTATATGTTTTGGATGCCACAGGCTACATGAGACAGGGATAAAATACAAAAGGTACATCTTAACGAAACATATAAATGATTTGCATGTACTCAGAAGGATTAGCCAAGTTAAACGGTGAGCTTAAAAAGACTAGCATTTTGTTCATGTGCATGGCGATGATCACTGGCCATGTTCTGCTTGGGTAGAAATGAGGAAGGGCAAGAAAAAGACATGGCTGGAGCGAAAAGGGAATTTCCCCTGATTACTCACTTGATTAGATAAATATGTAAATTAGGCTAGCAGGTGCCATACATGGTCAATAACTTTCCAAGTGTCCAACAACAAGAAGGAATTGCAGAACAAAGATTTTACCACTAATGATGTTGGCCCAAATGCACTGCGTGGCTAACCCTTCAAAAGGTATCGTTTCATCCTTGCCTCTCACCAAATTCACCTACATTTTCCCTGTCCCGACCATAGAGATAGTGCCTGCTAAATATCTAGCCGTCGAAGGATAAACATTAAGAAAACATCCACCCCACTTAGGACTAGCGTGGAGAAAAGGTTTGCGAGAGAGCAAGATAAATCCTTCATATAAGTATACCATCAAAGAAAGACAACCCTGGAATCGAGATATACAAATGCAAGATTAGATTCTATATTAAAGGAAAAAAGAATACATCATTTAATCACCGTGTCTCAACTGCCAACATTAAGAATTTGAGTGAAACACATTGTCACAAAAATAATCAACGCGTTTTAGTTGCTGCTTGTGTTTTATGCATCCATTGAGGCATCCGATGCAACATTAAGTAAATTGCACACAGCCACTAATCTTTACCATCATGAATGAAACTCGAGGGAAGCCTTTAAAATACTCAATAGCCGAGACAAGAAAAAGGATGGTGGTACTTTCTAAGTTCATTCCATCACCCCAATAGCTCTCAGACTAGTATAAACGACCACCACCACTAAAGGTATTTTCTTGCAAGAGCACGGACTTTGGTGTCAAAATGCGAAGATGCAATGCGGGAACCAGGCAAATAGAGGGGGTTGAGAAGAATCTGCAATAACCAATATTTTTTATTTATCAACATATGCAAGAAAAAAACATTAAGCATTTCAGTCACTAATCAATATCATAGCAGAGAAAGAGCGATGGTTACCCAGATGCAAAGCAATAGGGAAAAGAACATATTTGTCCCATGACTAACACATGATTCTCAAATGGCTACCCAATAAAAAAAATCCCAATTGGATCCCCCATCCATGAAAGATTTCCACTATAAAAAACAGGGGAGCAATCTCTTTTCCTCACTCTCCCTTTACTTCACATGTTATCTAATACTGTAGGGTTGTGATCGTAATCGATGACAGCATAGTATATATAGGATATCTTAATTTAAGTTTTGGAGAGTCATCCACTCCATTCTTCATCCACCAGTTCAACTAGCTTTTATTCTACCATAGGAGAAAAAAACACGAGCCATACACTATCCAGTATCTCCATGCTCATTTTAGCCAATATCAAACCATTGGCTCTACAAACACTCAATGCATTCATTTGTATCTAGCTGAACTATCGGTTCTGCTACCGCTTGTTGGGAGATCTGCTCTATCATATTGCACGTTGGTCTATGGGCCTATGCATATGAGATATTATATTATGAGTGCACAAAGCCTTCTACCCAGGTGTACAAGCTATTGGGTTATAGGCCTATCATTGTATATCAGCCACTCACTCTCTTTATCCTCAATTAATGTAAGCTATTTTCCAAAACTCAGATGTGCATATATTTCAATAGATTTTGTACCATGTGAGGCACAAAAATAGCAGCAAAAACTGGTACAAGCATGACCAGGAATGAAAAGTGCAGGAAAGAAAATGTGAACTCAAATCTAAATTCCAACAAGATAGGAGCTGCAGATTCTCCCATGAAGTTGGAATGACATGAGTATAATGAAGTGCGTTAAGTTGACAGTGGCATTTTCTGGATCTTATACCCCAATATGATTAGGAAAGGAGTCAACTGCCCGGCTTTGTTTGTTAATGCTATTCTCTCATAATACCATGAACTTTGGCATAAGCAGTTAAATGAGTATAATTTCTCAGCACATAGAGTTATCCATAATCTTAATACAAAATACTGACTTGAACAAATCAGCATCTATGTTTAACAGCGTATGCACCAAAGAGAATATGTTGTGTGTAAGAATTCAAAACTGCAGAGCAAGGAGTGGTTTACCTTTATATACAGCTCATGAACCTCCTGGAAAAAGCTTTTGATTCCATCATCATTGCGAGAGTCATGAAGTAGCATGAGTCTTGTATGTAAGATAAGTCAAGGAAAATATATACCAACAGAAAATGCAAAAAAGATAACATAAATATCATTCTCCATTTTCTCTGCGTTCTTTTTGTCACTATAGCAATTAAACTCACAGACACAAAGGATATGACCTGCTGTAACATAAACTGATACCACCAAATCATTGAACCTGTCAATTGCTTTCAAATACCTGTGAAAAGGATGTGATAAACAAGATTTTAGGAGGCAACGTCAGCAATAAAAACCAGAGTGGTCATTGTAGAAATGCATTGATTGATTCAGATATATTTTGAGCATTAGAAATTACATCGCGCTGGTGGTCCATGCAAGATCCTGAACAATATCCAAAGCTGCGTGCAATATGAATTGATGCATCTGTGCAGCATCTTCCCTCTGTCATCAAGTAATTGGCTGAGTGTTAATCACAAGTAGCTTGTGAGGAAATCAAAATACAACCAGAGAACATAACAAAATAATAAAAAGATGACAACAACGGTGTTTCCAGAACCCAATAGAAAGATAACAACTTCACCATGAAAGCATGTAAGCAAAGATCCACTCCCACACATCAGAAATTTGATATTAATGGTGCAGACAGCAACTTCACCATGAAAGCATGCAAGCAAAGATGGACTCCTCCACATCAGAAATTTGATATTAATGGTGCGCGGAGCACAAACAGCTTGTTTGGAACCAATTTTATGCTAGAATTGATTTCGACCAGTTCAGTGGAATGAATTGATTGGATTTGCTAATTGAATTTATTTTTTTTTGGAATAGGTTTTAAAATTGTGGAATCCATTTTACTTTAGTTAGTGAAAATACATCATTTACCCAACTTGCCTCATCCTTTAAAAAACTTATTCCAATCATATGAGTGCGAGAAAGGGAGGGAGAGAAGGGTGCTAGTGGGATTAATTTTAATGGATTAATTCTGAAGCAAATCACACCCCTTTTAGTGTAATTTGCAAATCTATAAAAATCTCTAATTTTAATTGGCTGTAGAATTCATTTATGTCTCTTAAAGATTTCCAAACACTAGAATTGGGTAAATGGTGTTGAAATGATTTCATGTCTACTCAAATCATAAGTTTTCAAATAGCCTGTAACTTTTTTCTTTTTTTCTTTCCCTTTAATTTCTCTCCTAGATGCTTCATGCATTAAATTTTAAAGGTGACATTATGAAACAAATAGATCCTAGAACCTTTCTGTAAGTCCATAAGCATGAAATTATGCAAAAAGCTGTAAAATTTCTTCAAGCAGATTACCAATATTTAAAACAGCAACATCAGAGGTTTGATGAAAGAATTATTCCAAATCACATGTTCCCATTAAGTTTGAAGCAAAGGCAGTACCAAAAGAACTTTCAAATGTTCTATCTTACACAGCACAATACGCCTAATACCTTCAATTCTATGTTTTGGAAATTTGGTGAATAACTAAACATAAATCGGAATAAATAAAATAAGCAACGTGAGAAAGATCAAAGAGCCGATGAAACACAACTAAAACAAAACACAATCCTATATCAAGGCACTTTGGAAACAAGAAGCTAATAAAATCAATCATATGCATTTTTCTACCTAGAAAAACAAAAACAAAAACAAAAATAATACTAATAATCATCATCATCTTGACCCATTAAAGAAATAACTTTCAATAACAGTTAGGTGAGCTCATATTTTCCAAAGACAAGCAAAGATTCAAAATTTTGAAAATTTTCCGTATTTCCAAAGAGAGTGAGATGATGCAAAAGCATACCTTTTTATGTCTTGATTTCACTGGTGAAGTCTCTGCACCATGAGTAAAAGAAGAGAGTTTCCTGCTTCTCAAAGTCTGTTTATGTTCTCGTCTCCCGATATTGGACTTGGGCCAAGCCCAAATATTCAGTTTGTATATGACCAGGCCCAAAATTAAAAACTAAGCAGCACAACCAGGAGAGGAAACCTAGAGAGAGAATTTGCTGAGGAGTCGAAGAAAACAGTGGTGAGTGAAAGGGAAACGGGAAGAAAATGGGAAGCGAGGCAACAAGCAGTGGTAGTGCCAACAGTGGAGGATTCAAGTCAAGAGTACAGCGTTACTTGTATAGTGGAGACACAAAGCATGTCATGGCTGGCATGGCCGTCATAACTCTTGTCTTTGGTGTCCCTTGGTTCCTCATGAACAGAGGTTGTTTTTCTTCTCCCCTTTTAATCTTTTGATTTGGTATCAAATATCTATGCTTTTAAATCAATTGGGTTACTTTTATATGATTTTTGGGTTTCTGGTTCAATGGTGAAATTGAAATGAGAAGTGACAGCAAGTGGAAAGTTAGTATCTTTTTACAGTTTTTTTACCTGGTCGTTGCCATGTCGATGCTGCTTAGTGTTCATTTTTGTTTGGTTAGTGGAAAGTGCAAGGAAAGGAGAGGAAAGGGAGTAAATTTTCAAGATTTTGACTTTTTTCTAATTGCTTGGGAAGATGAACTATGTTTAAGAGAGAAGTACTGCTTTGTGCTCAAAATTTAATTATTTTAAGTGCTGCTGATCTTGGGTTTGATTTGTTTGATTCCAAAGAGAATGTAGTGAAACAAGAAAAGTTGAGACTTTCCTGCATCTTTCTCTGTTTTTTTTTTTCCCTGCTTATTGATGATGTAAAAGCCTCTCCTGAAATGTTCTTCTTTGTGTTAAAAGATTATATTTATGGGTTCGTTATTCACTTATCTTTCTTAGTTTCTTCCACAGTCAATAAGAAGTTATAATTTAAGATGAGAAAATAGAGAGGGCTGGAATTATGTTTTGATAGAAGGGATTAGCGTGAATTGTCAGATCAGAAGTGCTGTTGATGGATTAAGCTGGGAGACTTGATTATGGGTTCTTACTAGGGTTTGACGCTGTATGAAGAATTACATACTCGGAGAAGGGGAAAATGTTAGGAGGACAAGTGGGACTTCTATGGTAAGATAGATTGGTAATCTTGTCACTCCATTGATATCAACCCTTCTGGTACCTTCTAGGAATGATGATGGGTGGTTATTGTATTTTCAATCAAGTTGCAATATTTGATCTAGATTGTGAGATGGAGTAAAGCATTATGAACATGAAAGCAATAATTGCTGTTTTGGTTACTTGAGGGGGTAGTCCCTGTCATTTACATTTTTTTTCCTGTTCTTGCTTGTTCGTGTACTGATTAGGCTAATAGAGAGTCCTGAATTCCTTAATTACAGATGTCATCCTTGGTTTTATGAACATGATTCTTTGAAGATGTTCTTTCTGCACTGCTTAGTTTAACCTTCTTTTTGGGCACATTCTTCTGAGGACGTGAGTGTTGTGAGTGTTGTTCGTGCATGATCTCCTGTCAACCATATCATGGACATTATTGTTGGCTTGGATAGCCTTGTTTTGAACTATTTTTCCCCAACCAACTAGATCATCTCCAGAAATCATGTTAGCATTTTATTCACTCCTTCGAATTGCCATCTTTTTTTCCATTGTAGTTACCTTTTCTTATTCATTTCAAGTTCAAGAGAAATCAAACCCGTGTTGTAGGTACAAGTAAACAAACCAGTGATAGATTGGAATGAGTTGTACCAAATGAGACCCTTTTCATGTTTCAAGCTGGATCAAGGAGGGTGGAGACTTGGAGTTCAAAGAGAATTATCTATTAATTTAAGCAGAAAAGGACTAAAAAATGCTACAGTATGCTAGATGAACCGCAGTTTGGAGAGATTCCTGGATCATGAAGTATACCAAGGAGGGACTTTTCAATATTTTACAACGAGGTGATTGTTGAGAGTAATCTCAAAGGGGGGACTTTTCAATATTTTACAACAAGGTGATTGTTGAGAGTAATCTCAAAGGGTGTGATGTCAACCTTCATGGTGTTGCAGTATGCAAACACCATATCATGTAGTTAAAAAATGCTTCAATGGATACAACATCATTCCAGGTTCCTATTCTAGCATAGATGCACTAACCTGCAGTTAGTACCGCTATTCCAAGGCTCCTCCATAAAAGCAGCAATTGGCTGTCTCTGTATAAAACCTATGCTGATTGGGTATTGATGGAAGATAAATTGAACCTGTAGCAACTGTTACTTGATGATTTTCATGTATGGCAGTGAGATTCATCGTGGTGCTGACTGCTGAGGGTTGTTCTGTGCTCATCTTGTGAATCATTGACCTGACTTCTTCATAAAGACAACCTTGAGACTGTTGTCATGGTTGTGTTTTTGCGCTTGAAAGGAAATTGCCTTATTACGTTATGTTTGTCCATGAGGATTTAAGTGTTTGAGATGTGGGTGTTATATTTGCATGTCAGTTTACCAATTTCTTTATTGTTTTATTCGCAAAGATATCTACAGCTGCTGTTAACTGAGATCATCTTTTCTTCCATAGGAACAAAGCACTCGTCTCATCAAGATTACATGGAAAAGGCTGATCAAGCAAGGCGTGACAGACTTTCTTCAGGTTCTGCTGCTACATGATTTTTGTGATCGCTTTCTTCAAGGTATTAGTTTCAAGTGATCATTTTAACAGTGGAAAAGTACAAGGAGTTTTGATTGTTCTTTTCATCCACCCTCTTTGGCCATGGCTAATTTTCAGGTCAAGGAGTGGATCTATATTTGTGTTATAAGATGCCATGTGCAAATGTTTATGAGATGAATTGAAATTTTTCTGAGCAGGCAAATCCAAATAGAATTCTTGCTTGGATTCTTGTTTTGTTATCCCTGAAAACGGTATCAATTGACTAGATGGAAATTAGCGGAGGTTAAGGTGAAGTTTTTTCCTAGACTAGCACAGTGAGATAAAATATTTTTCAAACTACTACAATTAAAAAATAATAATTTTTGGTAGTTAATATGCACTGATAGGACATGCACAGCTAGGTGTGCTGTCCATGTACATGCGCAGCTCATACTCAAATTTCACTTCTCCAACAAATTAATTCATCCTCTCAAAAATCAACATTCATATTTTATAAAGAATCAATCAATAGCTATGAAATGAACAAAAATAATCCAATAGCTATAAAATAGAAATGTTGAGTGGATGAATTAACTTGCCGGAGAAGAAAGATTTAAGTTGTGCAAATGCTATACGCGCAACATACCAAGGTGTGCGTGTATTAGAATGCGAGTCTAGTGTAATATTTGCCATCCCTGTAGCTTCTTCGCTTGTGTTGATTTCCATTTGCCATTAGTAAACATAAAAATATTAACCGTAGCCAATACAGGAGAACCAACTTTTCAAAAAAAATTTCTCCATTTTATCTAATAAATTACAGTAATTATGTGTTGTAATTGAGTTCAATTAAACTTAATTAATAAATAAATGAACTTTACATGTTTGAAAATATAGAATTAAATTTATTTTGTTTTTTTATTTCAGCCTTGTCACCTTCATTTTATTCTTTCAAAGCTAGTTTTAATATTAATTTTTCTGTTTTTAGTACAACAAAACAGATGGGTTAGCATCTAATTTATTTTTGTATATTTATAGAGTAAATTCCATTTAAAATTTAATTAAAATGGTTTCAAAATAGAGTTCCAAACATGTTTTAAAAGTTTAAAGTGGCATGAGCCTTCTGTACTTGAAGAACCATACAAACGCACAAAATATGACGACTCCGGCAACTCCAGTAATTATGAGGACCCACTTAAATGCCCCAGCATCATCAAACAATGGTACGGCGAAATTCATGCCAAAGATACCTGCCACCACTCCAAAAATGGCGACAACAAATGTTGCTGTTGTGAGTAGAAGCTCAAATTGGATCAGTTGATTTCGAACGTTGTCCTGCAAACAAAAATTTCCCTCGTCATGAAACTGGGATCCACCCGATCAACTCAAACAAAATCGAAAAAATTAAATGACTAGTTCCCAAAGAAAATAGTGTGATATCTTTGTATTATATGGGCATCCAAAAGGATCTTTCATGAGTCAGTATCATGGATTACGTGAACCCGCACCGTTATCCAATAAGAATAAGAAGCAGCACAGCCAGCAAGGATCGACATTTTGTGCAGGAACAAATGACTACTTATTTCTTTCTGTGATAATATTTCTTTCTGTGCATCATCTTAAAGAAGTTGCCAGCTGTGCTTATCACTTGATACGTTGAAGATGATTTTGCTTGATATTTTTCTAATTACCAAGGTTTTAAAATAGCAGTCCCTAACAACTGAGCTAAAAACAACACAATTTAATATTGAGGAGGCCGGAGGGAAGGAGAGGAATATGTACCAGCTGAATGTTGATGAAATCCTCTGTATCATCAATGTATTCTTTCAACTGAAAAAAAGTGAGAAAAATAAATGAGGTGTTAACATCCTAAACATAGAAAGAAGAAATGGAAATAATCATATCATGCTGCCTGCCCATACCGATGTCAACTTGTTCAGGGTGCTATCAATGACAACAAAGTAAGCTTCTAGCAACATCTCCAGCTCTTCTATATTCTCAGTAGCACTTTCAGTACTCTTCATACTCTCATGTCGGCTCCTTGCAATGCTCAGGCTTTTCTCAAGTTTTCGTGAATCAGGGGGTGATGAAACAGGAGAAACTGGAGCGGAAATAGATGTCCCACCATCATTTGATCTAAATCCCATCAAAGATTGATCGCCATAGAACGATGATTCCATCCGACTTTTCTTTTCAGTGAGATACATTTCAGCCATATCTCCATCATCATCCATGAGCTGCTCAATCTCATCCCTTACCTAGATACAAGTAAACTCAGAGAGAATAAGAACAGCAGAATAGATATCAATCAAATCTTAATTGCAAGTAAGGGAAAGGCAAGTGAAATTAGACATACCTTCTGAACCCTCCGAGTCAAGGCAACAAGTCTGCTTTTTAATCGCCGTACACGCTCCAAGTTTAATGTACTGATCTTGGATGTCAGTTCATCTAGTAATGGGTATGCTTCAATTTCTAATTCTGCTGCCTTCAGAAATTGCAATTTAAATAAGATTATTAACTTGCTCTAACTTAAATGACTTTTACTACAGAAACTGTGACGGGACAGACCATGTGATACCTTAATTTAGCAAAGGCATTAGCATGGAAACAGAAGGTAAAAAGACTGAATTTTGTATGAAACAAAAAACAACAAAGGATAGATCTAGATAGACATAAATGGGAAACAAGACTGATGTAGCCATCCCCGAGTACTTCTCTAGGCCATAATGAGACATAATATCACTTTCTAATACATAATCAGCCAACATGCCTCTTTCAAAAAGACAATCTGAATTGCATGTTTAATGATGTAAAAAGAACGGGTCTGGGTCTAACCATCAAAACAATAAAAACCAGCAAGACATACATTTTGTGATACATTCAAATTGCAGAAGACCATGCAGTGAGGGTTGCTCCTGTTCTAGAATGATTTGCTTTTGCTCAACTTGATCTGATGTTACAAACCCCTAGTACTTAACAATGAACCTTTCTGGAGATGAGTTCATACCATCACTATAACAATAGGGTAAAAAGAACTAAAGAAACCTATAAGACAACTCTCGGATCAAATTTGATGACTTGCTGAACACAATTTAAGCTAGACACTGAATAATGATTGGTTTCATTAAGAGCTCTTAACCTTTGTTGAGTTGAGAAAGAGTTCTTGAGAATTCAGAGCTTTTCCCTCTGCCTATAAAAAATTGTTATTTTGAAATATCATCAAGATGAAAGCTAATAACAGAGAATGGACTGAAATGAACCCAGAAATCTTGCAACAGATTGGAAATAAAAAATCAATCCAAAAAGAAATATCTTTGAGACCACTATGATCTAAAGAATAAAATGAGGAATCATTTACTCAGTCAATGTAGATTGCCAATTATGCAATTAATGGTAATGCCTTCAGTTAAGTGAATGTTAGTAGCAATTACCATGTCATGTCATAAACTCAACATGGACAAAGGCAGTAGGTTTGCATATCTTTGAGACCACTATGATCTAAAGAATAAAATGAGGAATCATTTACTCAGTCAATGTAGATTGCCAATTATGCAATTAATGGTAATGCCTTCAGTTAAGTGAATGTTAGTAGCAATTACCATGTCATGTCATAAACTCAACATGGACAAAGGCAGTAGGTTTGCATATGTGTCAAATGCAGACTGGCAATCTCATATGTAACAAGATAAGAAAACAAACTAAGAGGAAAACAATTAGCTAGAACTTTATAGGAGATTTTCTAAAATGTCAGTCAATAACATGGAATAGTGTAAAATGAAAAAAGCTTCCCTAAATAACAAGCTAAATTGCAGGCAAAACATACACAAACACACGTCCGTGTGTAAAATGATCCACAAGTTTGTAGCATAGAAAGATGTCGACTAGGAAAATACTCCCTGCCAGTAGGGTTAGAAAATACAGCCATGTCTTTTTGTTCCAAGACGTGCAGATATCACAAGATTTATATAATGACATACAGCAAACCACTTCAATTAAACTAGAAGGTACATGTACATCATTCAAGTGTCAAGGACATGAAAACACCTATATGGATAGACAAGACAGTTAGTAGTACTTATCAACTACTATGATAGTTCAAGCTACAACAGCTAAATCATATAAATTGTGGTTGAAAAGTTCACTAGGATTAGGAAAAAGAGTAATAACATAGGGATACACAGCTTTCATAATACTTCTGCAACAAACCATTCTTAATTTTGTTGAATAACATCATTCATTCAAATCAAGCATGTGAGAGATTTAAAGTTCTGTTTACACACCTGAGAATCCAGGAATGTACAAGCAGCTTCCAGAGCAACTTCAAGAGCCCTAAACTCAAAGGGCAAATAATCAGGGGATGTATTCCCAAATACACTGTCAAAATTCCTACTTCTCCTTCGATTCAATTCAGCACCTTCTGACTGCCATACCTCACCTACCCCTGGTGTCATCAATCGCCTTTGTAGCTCCACCACATACTGCAGCACATAGCTGTCAAGGGAATTTAGGAGTAGAACCTCATCAGCTGTAATAATACACCGAATCTGCTCCAAGTTTACAACTATAGCCTTCTCTCTACCGAGGATTGTTGAGGGGTAAACAAAAAGAGGATCGAGCAGGCGTAAATCACGAGCAGGTAGATCACAACGACGCATCATAGTGAACTTGTCAACCTCAATAATTTGGGAATTTCCAGATGAATCAACACGAATCCATGATCGAAGGCCTTGGCCACGCTTTTTCAAACCCAGAACATCAACACCTTGGAAAGGTTGGCGTCCAGAGGCAGATGGTCGATAAGATGAATCTCTAAGGTTTATAGCTGATGCTGGTTTTGGAGGGAGCAGGCGTTCTTTAAGGTCCGCCATTAATAACAACCCCTGAATGCTGGTACACATCAGGCAAATGAAAGTGTGAGTATACTCATCACCATCCTTTTTTTTTCCAGGATGCAGAAATAAAAGAGAACACTAATGGCACTTACTCCAGCTTACAAAGGCCCTTCTATTTGAAGTCATTCCATCAAGTACGGTAAAACTTTACTAATACCATGAGAGCTAAATTCATGTAAATTAAAGCCAAAGAACGAAAACAGTTGTCCGTAACATTGAATGGATACTTAGTCTCAGCAAAACATTGCAAGTGAACCACGTTGAGCTACAAAAAAATGATTTTTTGCCCAATGCAAGAGCAGGGTATGTCAACAATTCAATAGACTTGTTAACTTTGCAACTTCCATGTTCCAAAAATCAATCTTTCCTTTACTGGAACCACAAAGGAAGGGACTAGCTTCTCAAAAATCTTGATTTCTTTAGCTGAATTAGCATTTCTATTATCGACCCACAAACCCTCCTGCAACAAACCCTAATTATTGCCTGGATTAACAATGTAACAGGCAGAAAAATTAAAAATATGCATACATAATCATAAAGAAGCAGCTTTAAGAGAACCCCAGAAGCCATAAGTAGGATTTCAATGCAAGTTACACAGCTGCAGCAGATAAAACAAGAACTCAAATCACAGCCTTGATTTCTCTATTGATAATTCATTAAAAAAAGGACACCCAAGAGAGGATTGAATGCAATGAAAAAGCAAACCCTAGATTCTAAGAATCAGATAAGTAAATTACCTAACTGTGCTTTGACGGGTTGGTGGTTAGAAAGGATGAAATGGGGAGAGAAAGGAGTGGGCTTTGTTTAGGGCTAAGGCTTGATAGAGAAGGGAATCAGGCAGAGAACCTTAATGGAGAATCCAGTAAGATTAGGATACAATAAAGGGAAAATACACGAGTTTTGTTTGTTCTTAGTTCAAAAAGCTTAAAGCATACCGCTGCTATAAGGATGGGTCTTCTGTGAGTTGGCGGGGTATTGAGTATTGACTCGATGCCTATTCAACTACGTAAGGAAATACCTCCCACGTACTCATCCCTACTGTATTTTCAAGTTTACTCGTGTTTTTAACGAGGCACGTGCGTGCAGGGGGGAGGTGACCCAGTTAAAGGTTTGGGTTATTAAATTGATGTTGGGAATGTTGCGGTGATTATTTTTTATTTAAATATATATTTAAATAATTTTTTATTTTTAAAAAATTATTTTGATATTAATATATCAAAATATTAAAAATTAACTTTAAATAAAAAACCTCAGATTTGTAAAAAATGCGTTCTCAAACCAAACCTAGATCATTAAGTATGATTTTTGGATTCTAATACATAATATTTTTTAAAATAATTTTTTAAAATTTTTATTTTATACTTAATATTAACATATTAAAATTATAAAAAAATATCAATTTGATGTTTTTTTAAATAATAACACTTTTAAAAAATTTATAAAAATATAAAAATACAAATAATGACACTTTTAAAAAACTTACAAAAAAATAAAAATATAAGTTTGTCCACACACGCATCATGACTTAGTTATAAAACCATATTGTTTTTTTATTTAAAAAAAAAAAACTAAAATTAAATTTGTCCACGCACGCATCATGACTTAGTTATAAAACCACATTGTTTTTTTATTTAAAAAAAAAACAACTAAAATGACTTTGATTTGAAAATAAAAAATATAAACGATCATTGGAGTTTATACTAAAGACATATTAAAAGAAAAGTTAAAAGCCAAGAAGTTTCACTGTAGCTATTGTAGATTCTCATAATAAAATTATTATTTTATTCCTGCTAGGGAAAAGCTTTAGCTTTAAAGATGGGGTTTGTTGGGTTTTTCCGTTGGCTGTTAGTTATTAAAAAATTATTTAGAATTATATATGTTTTTTATTTTTTTTTAAATGGTAAAAATATATGTGTTTTCATATTTTTTTAATTTTTTTAATTTTATATTTATGAATTTATAGGCATATGTTTCAAATATATCAACTAATAAATGGTGTTCATGTTTTTCAAGTAATGTATATGATATTATTCGGTTATTAAATCAGATTATTTATCATATTATTAGATGATTAGTTTATATTTATGATAATACCTATCTTCAATTTAGAAAATAATCTGATCTTGATAATTCATTTGTTCATTTGCTATTGCATCTCATTAGAGAGAGGATATTAGAGATCTTCTCTCACGCTATTAATAAGGAGGTTATCGGAATCATCTAGGTGGTGACCAAGTGGTAAAGATTTGGGATCAAGGAGTCTACTCTCTCTGTGGTCTCAGGTTCGAGTCCTTGGTTGCTCATATGATGGCCACTGGAGGCTTACATGGTCGTTAACTTCAAGGTCCGTGGGATTAGTCGTGATACGCGTAAACTGGCTCGAACACCCACGTTAATCTAAAAAACTAGTCCGAACATCCAAGTTAATCTAAAAAAAAAATAAGGAGGTGTTCGAGGTATTTTATTTTTTTTTAATTTTTTATATGTTAATTGTAAAAAATAAATAGTAGGCCCATAGGCCTAAGCACATGCTAGGCCGAGGGATCAGTTCCAAGCCACAAAAAGGTTTTCATAGAACACAAGAGCCCAGCTCATAACTCCATATAATGGACCGACAGGTGGGCCTTTTTCCAGCCCAACTATAACTGTAAGCTAATCTGAATGAGCCCGCCATTTTAGACACCCAGGCATTAACGTTTTAATTTTTACTCCTTGAAAACGTCGTGGTTTTCAATTGGGGATAAAAACCCCTTCTTAAGAAGACACCTGCCACGTCATCTGCAAAGAAAACCTAACCCCTTCTTCCCGCACATCCCGTCTTCCCTGAAACCAAAGGACACCATTAACCTCTTCTTTTTCAAAACCGTCAAAAAGTCGTTTCCTTCAAAAACTCAAACAAGATCTGGTCATTGAGGAAGAGGCGGTGGCCGTCGTGTAGTCTGTTAAAAGTGCCACCTTAAAATAAGAATTTGGTGGTGAAAGTCTGGTGTTAACCACTAATTCCTCTACTGTCACCACCATTTCCGTAGTAAAGAGAGAGAAAACAAGTGAAGAACTGAAAAAAGGAAGTTCAGAGATGACTGGGTTGCACAACGAACCTGGAAATTATCATTTTGTTGCCTGCTTGCTGCTTATTAATTCCAGTCTGGATTGGTTTGGTTTGCAAGTGGAAAAACAGTACATTTAGTTACAGTAACCTGCAATATTAATATATGCAAATAGTGTTTTTTTTTTAAATTAAGTTGAATCAACTCGGTTACATCTCTGCCTGAGACACGGGATCCTGCCCGATCGATACTCGCGTCTGGTAAAACCGATCGGCATCAGTGGAGGTAATAACACTGTATCAGAAAAATACTTGATCCACAAGAAGAGACAGGCAGCCATGGTGATAAAAATATTATTCCAGGGATACTTATCATTAGCATTATATGATAGATGAGATCAACAACTTTACGTGAAAAATAAAGGAGAGATCAAGAGAGGTCCCACGTCTAATTATGTACACCAGAAGCAACCATGTAATCTTGGCTGAGAGATGGGGCGGCGATCTGGGAGCCTTAAACCACCATTAAAATTGCTTATATACTATTTTTCTTTATCTTTAAATGTAAGGATTAACATGAGATGAGTAGTCACGAATTCCAGCCCCTTCCCATCCCATCCATTCCTCCCACATATCCCAATCTGTGTCGTTCATTCCTCTCATAGGCTCATCAATTCCTTGATCCGATGGCTCATAAGACCTGTACATCTGTGATGATTCATCTGGTTCTTCCCTCAAATTACTCATCACAGTCTGCAGGAAAAAAAAAGAAGCACTGTTAGACAAAAACTGTCCCTTGAGCTAAAGCTCAAAAGCATAGAAAAGTGTAACACGTAAATTGCATCCCAACAACAGAAAAATGATAGTGATGGCGCTAGGAGACAAGGTCTAGGCATGAAAAGACACTCCATCGAACCCAACATAGCCAAAAGAGTACTCCAAGAGCTTGCAGCCTAAATTCGCCCATGTCTATGATTAACATGATAAGGGTGTCATGTCCTATCAGGATGGTTGATGTAGCCACAGCCCTTTTGAACAAAACCATTAAAATTTCGTCTTACTGCTGAATCAGAATTGGATAAATCCCAATTTGGAAGCATATACTCTAAAGAAGCCTCTAATTGAAAGAGTTTGACCAGTCCTCCAATCTTCACTTGACAAGTTATCAGTATTTATTTTGGTTGAATTCTGTCCTTTTTTGTGTAAATTGTAGTGATTGAATTCGTATATTTAAGTCTTCATACCATTTTCAAGGTATCCTATAAGTCTTTGGATTTAATAGATGGGTCCTGTCCTCAATTATTTGGGTTGAATACTTTCGATTCCTATCTTTATTTTCTATGCCTGGAGAATAGTCATCCTTTACCAAATCCGACATGAACCCCGCCAAAGAAGAGAAAAAGAACGCACATAAAAATAATTTAAAAGGAAAAAAAAATGAATGATGAGGAGATGACTACATACATCATAGGCTTCATTGATCAGGCTAAACTGCACACCACAATTGCTTCCCCTGCAGACATCTGGATGATACTGAAACAGAACAGGAAAGAATAAATAAGCAAAAACCCCCCCAAAAAAAAAATACATCTAAAACGATGAATTGAATAAAAGGAATTAAAACCCACCAAGAAACCCAAGAAAAAAATTGAAATTTAAACGAACAATATATTATACCTGCAAAGCAAGCTGTCTAAAAGCTTTCTTGACCTCAGATTCAGAAGCATCAGGTTGGATCCTAAGAGTCTTGTAAGGGTCCATGACAGAAGGAGAAGAATAGGAAGCAGCAGTAAAAAACCTGACTCCATCTCTCCCCATCTTATCATTACTATTCTTCTTTCTCCTATTCTTTATCTGCAACCAAGAAGCTGAAGACCCCGCACACCCATTTCCTCCCACCATCCCAACAACCGCTGCACTTGTCATTCTCTCAAACCCACCCACAAACACAGTCCAAGAATCTCCCTTTATAAGCAAACAAGAGGGGGGGGGGCACACTATGGGCAGAGGCTGAACGTTGTTTTGTTAAAGGATAGTGTTACTATGGTGTAAAGGCTGTTGTAGCTTTGAAATCAGGACATGGAGGGATTGTTTAAATATCGAGAGAGTGAATATATATATATATATATAGGGAATATAAATTGCATTATGAGGTGTGATATACAGTGGGGTCCTTATCCAAAAGGGTCAGTGAGATGAGGTGTATTTGATGAATAGTGTTTTGTGCTTATCCTCGTCCTTGTCAGAATTGGAACATCCACTCTTTCTTTTATGTTTATCTAGGGTTTCTTCTGGGAATATTCCATTTCAGAAATCTAATAATCTTATTTACTCTCCCAGATGTTTTTTTTAAGGTTTTTTAGCATCGCTATAAACAGGTTGTCTGTATTTTGCTTTATAAAAATAAAAATAAAAAATATTTTGATATGTTTTTATATGAAAAATTTTATTAAAAAACACAATACCTTATAATAACCAGCACACAAAATCTAGTTTAATTAACAGGTTAACCTAATTAATCATGAAATCAAAACCTAACTTGATTAAACTTGCTTAAAATTAATTCTGTTGAAAAAAGAGAGCCTTGTCTTGGCTCCCCTCGAGGGGGGGAGGGGTCACCGAGAGAGTGTTCTTGTTTATTTCGAAGGAGGCAGGGTTGGCACGCCATAGCCATCTCTATTATTCTAATGCTATTACAGGGTGCTATATCTTGATGGTTAATCTTCAACTTGTGTTCTTCTGTGGCGAAAACAGAGGGCTATTCGCATCACTTTCCATGTGTTTGAATTTTTTATGTATTGAGACTTGGATCGAGAAAAAATCAAGGCACGAAAAGGTTGCATCTCCTGTTTAATCCCATTTCTTTATCTCATCTCTGTTATTCTAATGCCATTACAGGGTGCTATATCTTGATTGTTAATCTTCAACTTGTGTTCTTCTGTGGCAACTATTTAAATGGTGCTCAAGTGATAAGAATTTGAGATTAAAGAATTTGTTTTCTCTGTGGTCT